CACTAGCCATCTTTCTGGGTACTACACCAGTGAGCAAGGCTAACCAGGCCTAGTTAGAGAAATGGACATTAAGTAGATATTCAAAATGTTAGACAATATGAGTTTAGAATAAAGGCAGCAGGATAATTTGATACACATTTACTAGGCCTGGTGATGGTGCAGTACTTGAGATTTAGTGGTTAGGGAAATGATGGTGACATTTGGCATCCATACATCAAGACAAATCTTATATTGCCTTGTTGGTCATGGCAATCCAAGGAACATTTGTTTTGAACTTTTGCAGAGGGTTCATCCCCTTTGAACATTCGAAAATTGTCTCTTTGAAACTGCCAGAAACTTTCATGAAAAGCACATTTCTTGGGTAGTTTCTTGTTGGAGTTTGAGTTATTTTCCCCTTTGTCCTCTTAGCATACTCATTTAAAAGAAACAGATCTGTTGTCCTTTGATTTAGTCTCCCAAAATATGTGCTATTCTTAAAGCAAATATAAACTGAATTGACTTTCAAAGGCAAACTATGTCAGGCTCTCAACTTGGAATTTCACAAGGTTGGTTTTACCTATCTTTTACATATTTTGTATACAGTGGTTAGTTATTTATATACCTTTTATGTTCTGCAAAGTATTTCATGCAAGTTGCTTTTATAGGTAGATCTGTTATCAAGAGGCACCTTAATGCCTTAGTTAGCCTTTTTGAAGGAATGCTTTGGGAAATTGTGCCACCTTAATGCCTTAGTTAGCCTTTTTGAAGGAATGCTTTGGGAAATTGTGCATACTTTCTTATGTTACAAGGTACTAGAATAAACTGGAATTGGAAATACAGTGGCGATCACAGATAGCAGTGTTTATATCTATTTTTCCCCTAAGTTTGGTTCTACATGAAATCAGAGATCCTATACATTTATAGGCAGAACGTTTCATTCTTCAGTACGTAAGTTGGAAACATGATAGCTGCAGGAATTAAAGGAGCCTGTCAGACTCTGTTTTTGACCACAAATAAGTCTCTGCCTCACTACAAAATATTTTGGCTTTGTAAATCTTCCCTTATCCTTCTCATACTGAATGTCTTGTAGTGCTCCTTAGAGCACAACTTCAGGACTTCAGACGCTGTGGACTGAACTGCTCAGCTTGTAGGAAATTATGTTATGGTGATGAAAACACATTTGACAAAGTTCAACGGTCATTCCTGATTTTAAAAACTAGAAAATAGAAATAGATAATACTTATTAAAAAGAACTTCCAATTAAAATGCATTATTATGCTTAACATTTGAAATATTCCTAATAGTGTCAGACATGCCCACTGTCATCACAACTGCTTCTGGGTCCTGAAAGTATCAACCAGTATTATTTGAAAATGAAAGATATTTTGTACTAATATTGAAAAGGACAATTTATTTTACAAAACTGTGGTTGTATAGTGAATATACAAGAAAATCGCTAGAAATACATTTCAACATGGTGTTTTTATGTTCAAACAATACCTTATAAATCATATGCAATACAATAGTTTTAAAAACTAGGAATTTATAATAGCACATAATATATGCATTATCTTGGAATAAGCCTAAGCACTTATGACCTTTACGAAGATAACTATAATGAAATGCAGTGTCAATCAATATTAACACCATTAATATCACAAAATACTTCTAAAGTTTATCTAGTAAAATAAACATATGATAACAGAAAAATTCTTTCACAGGAAGATACTGATGGAGTGGATAGAGGCACAAGCCCTCTTCCTAAATATCAAATCATGTCATGAAAACCACCATAAAATAGTAAAATAGTTTATTACTGACACTGAACTAGATGAATGAAACTGAATGGAGATTTCAGTTAAAAAAAATTTCAATTACATACTTGCATTCAGTATATATTAAAGATTGTTTTCAAATCAATGGGGGAAATATGGTTTGTTCTACAGCATGTGGAGCTAATTGGCTGGCAATTTGGATAAAGATAAAGCCCATCTCTGCCTTATTTGTACACAAGAATAAAATTGCAAATGAACCAAATATGCAAATATTAAAGAAGTGAAGAAAACAAGAGTGAATTTTTAAAATGAGCTTGGCATAGGGAAGGCCAGAAGACCTTTCTAAATGTTATACAAGTTTCAAAAGTCAAAAAAGGAAAGATTGATATATTTGACTACATAAATGTCAAAATACCAGAGGTTCAAACAAATGCTAAAAAACATGCTGAAGTTGGGGGGGCGGTTAGGGAGGTTGGTAAGGGAGTGATTATTAGCTACATTTTTGATAAAGGGCAAATGTCCTTAAAAATCCAGATTAATCTTATAAATTAATAAAAGATAAACCTTTCAAAAATGTATAAAGTTACACAAACAATTCACAACACACATAAAAATGACCCCAACACCTCAATCTTCTTTATTAATGAAGGAATTAAAATTCAAGCAAGATGCTATTTTATGCCTATCAAACTAACAGATTTAAAGTTTCCTTTTCAGTGATGTTAAGGGTGTGAGGAAATTTCTCATACTTAGTGTATAGAAGTGTGAGTTGATATGGTATTTCTGAAAAGAAATTTAGACTGCTAAAATGTATCAAAATTTAAAATGTTTACCTTTTAATTCAGCAGGACCACTTAAAATAATTTGTTACAGGAGTTAAACAAAGATATATGTAAAAAGAATATTTTATTGTGTGTAATGGCAAAACTTTAAAAAGGACAGATCAATGTATCAGGTGACTAGTATATTAAGTTATAGTACACTTATACAGTGGAATACCATAAGTGTTTGAATAAAATTAAATATAGATTTATGTTTTTGTGTAGAAAGATGTGCAGGTTATGATAGGCAAGAGGGATAGGTCCCTTGCATTACAGTATGGATATTTTATTTAAGAAAGAATATTTTAAAGTTACAATTAAAGTTTAGGTCTGCATGGTAAATGTATTTGAAAAATATATAGACTATTAACAGCTGTCTGGCGCTTGGAATTGGGTGGTTGAAAGGAATAAAGTAGGGGAATTTTTGCTATTTTATATCCTGTGCTACTTAAGTTTTCCCTTTTTTAAAAAAAAATATGTTTTATTTTATACTTTAAACAGACAATAACACAAAACAGTATCACAGTTTAGATTTGCATCAAAGCATAATATTGCATGGGTTTTTATTCCTCCCAACAGAAAATACAAAACCAGGGGTCTTTCACTGTGGTTATAAAGCACTTATTTATTTGAAAATAACATTGGTTTTTGTTTTTGTTTTTGTTTTGCATGTGGTCTACCCCTATTCAGTTCAGAGGTTTTTACAAAAAATAGACCAGCAGTTTATTTTTGGAGACTTACCTGCCCTTTCTGCTACCTACATACTCCTAACTTTATTTAACTGATGGGCTCACAGTCTACAAGTAATGAAATTTTTGCTCTAGATCTTTCCAAATGATGGTAAGAACAGATTTTTATCACTGTACTTAAATATTAGCAAATGCCATTCTCCACTTGTAAGAGGTGCTACTCCTGGAACCAGGGTCAGGTGACAGCCATCTCATAATTGCCCTCTAAAATATCTTTAGAATCTTATCTGAATTCTCCCAGCAGTTTAGTTCTCTAATATTACACAAAGTTTGGGGTTTCTTTATCTAGGAACCTCTTTAGAAAGGCTGTTCCATGTTACATATTCTTTAATAGTCTGATCTGACAACTGAACTCCCCTCTCTATTCTGTTACACACATGGACCACTTTGAAACTTCGGTGTTTTGCCAAGATAAGGCTTGCCATGGCTAATATGTTAAAATGACAAATGTACTCAAAAGTACTCAGAAGAGTTCAGGCAGATGAAACAAAATCATTTCCTTCAACACTAGGCAGATAAACTGTAAAGAGGCAAGTTGTTGACTTTCTGTATTGAGTTGGTGGAGACCTTTGGTGTGGCTCTTCCTTAAGTAATCCTTTATCAGAAAATAGTGTGTCTCAGAAGCAAACTATATTTTAGATGTCTTTGGTTAAATGATTTTGTTAAAAAATGACTTTAAGTTCCCATAGGAGTAATATAATTACAAACAATACATTCGTTTGCAGTATATTTTGTATTATGTAAGTTTTTCCATCTTCTCTAACATTTCTTCAAAAGTTATCTTCTGCCAGCTTAACTCATAACATGCCATTGATGAAGTCTTTGCATTTTCAAGCCTTCTTGAGGAAAAACTTCCGAGAGTTAATGTCGTTTGGCAAGGGTCAAGAACAGAAAGCTCTTTTTAAGCTAAAGGCTAAGGTCAGATTTGTTCTTAGATTTCTCTTCAACTTCATCTCTACTTCAATATCTAGTTTCTATAGCAACTGAAATATAGTTTGCAGCTAGGTCAGAAAAGGAAAATCTATAGGTGTAAAGAAATTTATTTTTTAAAACAGAGAATTGTCAGGCAACACCCTCATAGCTTTTATGGGCTGAAACCTGCATTCTGTTTCCAGTAATTCAATATTTGACTGATAGGTATCATTTCCTTTTGTCCTGAAGGGGCCAGGCATTTACCTCTTTTTCACACAGCTCCAGAAAAGACTGCTGCTTCTGTGTCCTACTAATTAATCACATTCATATTAATTAATTAGCCAAATGAACAAGAAGCTAAGAGGGAGAATTTCTGTGGATAAATTATAATTACTAGTAGAATTATTTCTCTTCTAGTGGAATGTCTCTGACTAATAATAGCATCGGGGGAGTGGTTCTTGTTCAAGTGTGATTGGAAAATGTGGAGTAGTCCTTAATGTCTGTGTTCTTAGTCTAAGTGGATTTAAGGTATCTACTCTAGACTTTTTTAGTCATTTAGGTGGTGAAATTTTGGAAGTGGGAGAAGTGCTATCAGAAGTGCCCCATGTGACCAGTAAAATAGGATAACATTAAAGAGATGCTTTAAGCACTTTATGTTACATCTTCAGAGGTGTGCATAGCACTTTAAATGGAAAATATATATATATATTTTAAGTTAAGTTGTTGAAGTGGAGGAAGATTAATGCTTTTTTTAAAAATTATAGGAACTACCTTCTGTTGAAGAACTCACTATTATTCTGCCTGAAGATATTGAATTAAAACCTCTTGGAATGGTTTCAAGTATTATTGAACAACTAGGTATGTACGTAATTTTATTAATAAAAATTATTCACATCTAAACATGCCTAATAATTGAATCATTGACTTTACGAATAGTAAATTTTCTTTGAACTTTGTAATAACACTTTACAAGGGGAGACCAAAAAAACCCAGGATTATCTTTTGCAGGGCGGGCCCCTTGTAGTACAGGCTCCCCCTGCTGGGTGAGTATTCTAGGAATCCATCAGCATCAGTGTACCAGCTGGCATTGTTTGAGAGACTACTTTTGGCTTCATTGAATTTGGAAATTCTTTCTGTGCATTTGCCCCTTTCATATGGATGATTTATGAGTTCACTTGCTCACACTGTGCTGAGTTTTCAGCAGTTTTTGGCCAAAAAACAGCAAGACCCCCTTGCCCCACCCTCCCTATTCATCTGATCTCTCCCTAAGTGACTTTTTTTTCCTCTCTGGATGAAAAAAGTCCTCAAAGGGAAGCATTTTGCCAGTGTGGAAGAGGTGAAACAAAAAATGACAGAAGCACTAAAAAAAGTAAAAATTGACAAGTTCAAAACCATTTTGAGCAGTGGGAAAAGCATCTTGATAAGTGTGTTGCATCAAATGGAGAGTACTGTGAAGGTGACTGAATTTAAACATGTAAGAATAAATATACAACTTTATATACATAAATTTCATTTTTTGGTTCCCCTTGTATTTTTAGTCATTAAGTTTGAAAGAATAAAATAAAAAAAATTTTTTTACTTATACAAAGAATACATAAATACAGTTTCTTTATAAAAATTTAAAAGTCTGTTTTTACTAGCATACTTTCTCCACAGTTGTCTTGGATTTTGTTTATTACCAGAAACTTAGTGACATACAACAGCACACGTGTATTATTAACTTACAATTCTGTAGGAAACAAGTCTGATGTGGGTCTCAGTGGGCTAAAGTTAAGACATCCAGCAAGGCTGAGTTTCCTCCTGCAGTCCTGGGAGAGCATGTTTCCTTGTCTTTTCTGGCTTCTGGAACCTGCCCACACTTCTTGGCCTAGGACTCTCTTTCCATGTAGAAAGCCAGTCAAAGGCCATCTCTCTCTGACCACACCGGGAAATGTTCTCTGCTTTTAAGGACTTTTAAGATTGGGACTACCTGCCCAATTATCCAGGATATTCTTCCCTATCTTAAGATCCTTTAATCACATCTGCAAAGGCTGTTTTGAAAATTTAAGAAAACATATTTACAGGTTCAGGAGTTAGAGGGTCTTTGGGGAAGCCATTCTGCCTACCACCTTTGATTTTTGTCTTGTGAACTTGTAAGTTAGAAAGTTCTGTGATTTAATACCGATGTAAATGAGACTGTTGGATTATATGAGAACTGAATAGTTTAGATTTCTTTAGCCCCAACACAGAGGGCTTTCTTGAGTCATTGTTTTCTACTTTCTCTAAAGTGAAGTTATTGGATTAGGTGACTTGTAAGGTTTTGAAGTTAATATAGGTATAGTGAACTCATAGCAAGGTATGCTTGAGATTAGAACTCAGCCCTGACAAAGTCATAGGACCTTGGACCTAGATCTCCCACCAGCTTTCTTGTTTTACAGGACCTTGGAGACACAGAATAATAGTTCAAGTCAGTAGCTCTTAATAGTTGTGTACTCAGTGGTAGGAATAGCACTTTATATTTTGACCCCTTTCTAAGTATCCATATCAGTATTTTTAAAAATTAACACCTAATTTTGTACTTTTTAGGTTATTAATAAAAATTTGGATTGAAGCGAGCCTGTTTTAAAAAATCATGGTCATTAAATTTTTTTACATGATTCCCAATAATCATATAGAAATACGACTATTTCAAATATAATCAAATAAATAACTATTATGTTTACTAGTTTTTGAGTGATTGTGTGGTATTTAATAATATGTATAGATCTATCAAACAGATAGCTAAGTTTTTGATTATATAGTATGGTGTGAGCATTTATTAGACTTGATATATACAGAAAAATTTTAGGCTATAATATTGATCCTCAAGGAAGATACTGTTTTGACTAACACATCATAATAGATGAATGAAATTCTCAACCTGGTAGAAATAAAGAGCAAATAGTCAAAATCAAAATGAGCACGTTTCTGAAGCATACTACTCTGTTTTTAAAGCTAAAATATCTAATATTATTTGGAACAAATTACCAAAAAAATTGGTATATTAGACAAAAATAATCTGTGAATTCAAATAAGAATTTAAAGTTGAAAAGAGAGGACTTTGGCTTTGTACTCTGCAGCTGTATAAACTATATTGTTTTGATTTGTTTTTGTCTTAATTTGGAAAAAACAAGGAGCTAATTAGATATTATCTATCTAGGTAAAAGTGGAGCGATGTTATGAAATTAATGATTTTGTCCTAGTTCATTTTTTAGAGAACTAATTTAAGAGCCCTTAAAATTTTTAATCAATATATTGTGCAAATTTTATTTGTACCCATCTACCTGAAACTGCTTGCCACCTAGAACGTTTTAATAAGGAATGGTCTGTGGAAACAGTTGTGTTGTGGGAAGAGCATAGGAACTAGGTCTAGTTTCTGGTAATAACTCTGGAATTAGCCTTATGATCATGTTAATGAGGATTTGCTTAAGTCTTTGTTTTCTTATCTTTTATCAAGTGAAGTTATTGGATTAGTTGACTTTTAAAGTTTCTGTAATTTGACGCCTCTGGGAGGTTAGGAAGGACTGATTATTGCAAATGAATTCTGTTAGTGCTCACTGTAATTATCAAGACTTACTCATCATCATCATTCCAAAGCAAATTTACTTCAAAAAAATGTTGCCTCATGATTTGTTACTTTGTGAATATTTAGAACTTAGAAGTACTATTGAAATTAATTAGTATACAAAAGAAATTGAGTTAATTTTAATAATTATAGCTAATATTTTTTCCTCCTAAGTGGACATGGCATTATCTGTGTAATGTAACAGTATTGTTGCTTGTTACTCTGATTTTTGAAGGATTTATTGTGTGTGTTTTCTCTTTGTTGTGGTATATTGATTGTTTAATATTTATCGCACTTAAAAGAATTGGAGATTATGCTAGACCATTGGGATAATGTTTTTGCCTTTGAGGAGGAAAGTTTGATGTAATAATAAAAATTACTTTGAGCTTTACCACTTTTACTTCATCTGTTCAGAGGAAGATAGTTTTGTGAAACCTTTAACTTTTTCAAAGATCAGTAATCGATGCTCTGTAAAAAAAGAATTCTAGAGTGAGAAAGATGACTTTATTCTAAAACAGATGTTTTGTGACTAAATGTGACTATACTGTTTTTGATACATATTGCTTGAGAAAAAAATATACAGCTTGAAATTGTTGACTCTAGTGGGTGATTCAAATTTTCTATAATATATGTATTTTAATTATTTTTTCTTAGAATTGTAGCTTTTATATTAAACAAAAATATGCACAGATCATCTTCTAGTGCTATTTGGTAATGGGTAGACTTTGTTTACCAAAGAGGAATAGTTAATGAGGTAAATAATTCACCTTAAATTTTATTTTAAATTTTGTTGGCATTAGCTTAGATTCTCGTTAAGATTCTACATTCTCTTCTAAGTAAATCTTGAAGTAATTATTTTGTTTTATTTTTCAGTAATAATTGAATCTACGACTAACTTACCTCCAGTTAATGAGGAGACTGTGATTTTTAAGAGTGATCGACAAGCAGCAGGAAAGGTTTGTAAAAAAAATTCAGATCTTACAGATGATTCTGTTCTTTGTTGATTGGTTTTTCTGACTTTGCCTGTCGGTTCTCAGAAGAGTGTATTAATTTTAGTAGATGAACAATCTAGAGCTCTCAAGTTTTGGTACATTTTTTACTTCCTTCAGTATTTTGTGTTGGTCTGTATTGGTGTATTGGTCTGTATTGGTGTAATTACTTTTTGCTGCATGAGTCATTAAATACACAATATAGAATTCTTTCTTACTTTTTGTCAAGTACTCTGCTTGGCAGTGGGTCTACGTAATGAATAAGGTGGTTTCTTCCCTCCAGTCACTCAGCTAAGTGAAAAAGACTTTCCACAGTGTAGTAGCACTTGCCCATTTTTGGTTTGTGTGTCCCTTTGAGTAGTGGTTCTCAAGCTTTTTAGACTTTGACTTCCTCAGACAGAAGCTCAACATGAAATCTTTTTCAACATGAAAAAGATTTCTGTGACAGCGGTAAAGTGTCTACTGTTGACACATTTTGGGGAATTACAAATATGTACACTTTAGTACTTGCTATAGGATTAGATCCCTTTTAACATCTTACTAATGTAACAACCCTGCATGCCCATCCTTAGTATGGAAAGTCACACACTTAACCCAGCAAGTAGGTAATTCTGAGCAGTTAGTAGAGGACAGAAAGCCTTCTAAGATCAAGAATATAAATACCAACCAAGTCTTATTTCCTGGCAATAGAGACAGACTTTTATTCACCTTGGTATTTCCTACAGCAACTAGTATAGTCCTTTGCAAATTATTTTTTCTAAGTAAATGTGTATTAAACACACAAATAAGGAACCAGCTGCTGTCTTTGGAGAGACAACTCACTCGGGTTTAGTTTAGGTGAGCAGCAGTTGGCTTCTTTTTTTGTTCTAAGCAATATAATTAATGTGTACTTAATGAGGAAAAAGCAAGTCTTTTAAACTGTATTATTGGGTTCACTTGTACAACCTTCCCTATTTCTGTCTTTCTCTATTCTTCTGTTCTAACACAAATTAGAAAGGGATTGGTTTTTATCTGGGGCCTGCCACCTTTCACTACCTACGTATATGTTTTAGGTTGACTGACCAGTTTACCCAAGACCAATGAGTCACTTAGGATTGCGAAGTAGTCAGTGGCAGAATTAACGGAGTCTAGAGCTAATATTTTTTGGCAATTTTTGAGAAAGTTTGTGAGAATAAAAAAGACTTGCTAGTGACTGAAGGACGATGCTGTGCCTTCTTCCTTCCAAATATCTAGGCTTACTATCTTTGGTATCAGTGTGGGTATTTGTACTTTTGATTCAGAAGAAATACTGTAATGTAGTGCCAACTCTGTTTACTGTCAGTGCCTATATAGGGAGTTGTGGGTTTAACCTCAGATGGGTTGAGTGAGGAAAGTAATGGAAAATGAGTAGATGACTATGCTGTGAGTCGTTCTCTATGCCTGTTGGCCAACTTTAGGAAAACTAACTTTCTTCCCTGGCAAAAACAAAATATTTCTTGCTGTCCTCAAAGTAGTAGCAGAGAAGAGGGGAGGAGAGAAGAAGCAAAGGAAACATATTTCTTCCTTACTTTCTTAATAAGAAGTGAAAGTATTAAAACTAATATTTTTCCTCGGTTCCTTTTACTTGTGATTTTCATGACTGTTGCCTTTTTCTTTTAGTAACTAACTCAGATGGTTTTAATTTAAAATACCCAACAGTCTGCTAATTAAAATCTCTAAACTGACATTTTTTTAATGCCTTCCACTGCATTCGAATTTTCAGACCTATAAATGCGTGACTAATAATATTCAGCTTGCTGTCATTTAGCTTTTGAAAGGAGTCAGGTAAAAATATAACATTTACACCACTGACTTAAGTTATATGTATAAGCCTACTGGAAAAATTTAAATGTATTTATAAATTTTACATACAATGCTTTGTAAATTTGAGAAATGACAAACCTTCAAAAATATTTTATCGTATATCTAAGCACCTTGAAATGATTCTCCAAAATATTGGCAGGGGTGGGGAGGGTTAGGGAGCATCTGTTAAACAGACCAGTGACCAGGATGTGAAACTGAATCTCTTTTAGATTGTTAGCTTATCTAGATAATAAATTTGTTTTACCTTCACATCCTTGCTTTCCCTTCTTCTCTTCAGTATCAAGAACAATTATCAGCCAAGTGATATTTTACATTCCTTTTAAAATTCACCGAAAGCCTGCAAGGAAGTAGAATTATTTCCATTTTATTTTATTGTATTTTTTTCATATTTTTTTTATTTTTTGAGTTGGAGTCTCACTTTGTCACCCAGGCTGGAGTGCAGTGGCAGGCTCACGGCCACCCCAGCATCGACCTGCTGGGCTCTGGCAATCCTTCCACCTCAGCCTTCCAAGTAGCCAGAACGAGCTACCACGCCTGGCTAATTTTTGATTTATTGTAGATATGAGGTCTCGCCAAGTTGCCCGGGCTGGTCTAGAACTCACGAGTTCAGGCAATCCCCTTGCCTCAGCCTCCCAAAGTGCTGGAATTGAAGGCTGAGCCACTGAGCCCAGCCTTATTTCCATTTCAAAACAGAAAACTTGCTAAAAAGTTACAAAACTAAAATCAAACAAACTTGTGATACGACCCTGATTCACTTCCTTTTCCCCTCCATCTGCCTGCTCACCGATTTGGAGAGGACAGTCTGAGATTTGTATTCCTACTTTGGCCTTTGATCCTAATAATGACTAGTTTCTCTTGATAACTAGTGAAATCTAGTGATGATTTTCTGAAGGTCCCTGTGTCATATTGACACAATGTTGTCTTTTCTCCCATCAGTTCTCTTGGTATTTGTCAAGGTACCTCGTAATATAGCAATACATACAGTGATTGAAATAAGCACATGACCTAACCAATGAATTAGAATTATTTGTCTGTATTTTCTTCTTTTATATTAATGGGAAGTGAAAAAAACCACCTAGTAATTGATAAAAGATAATGCTGGATGGTTGTAGAGGTTCGTTTCCTTTCTTCTTGTAGTAGTTTAGCCAAAAGCTGGCTCATTTGGAGGACAGGAAAGCCTTGACTGATAATGGTCTTTGGAGGCTGTTCTCAGGGTGGCAGCACACTGGTCTCAGCCCTCCACAGGCACAGCCATCCGGCATCATTCCTATGCCTGGAGGTTTGTTGATGCATATCTTGTTACTTAGAGAAACTGGGAGTCACCTAGTCCCTCTTAGGTAATTCATAAGCTTGTGGCATTGAATGTGTCTGTGGAGAGGGGGAGGAGAATCAGCTCATTCTCCCTTTTGGAGTGTTGTCTGTGTACGTCTGGCCTGCTAGCTCAAGCAGGCCTTCCCCACCACTGGATCTCTGCCACAGAGCTTAAAGAATGCCTCAGCCTGCCTGTGCTGTGGACTGAGAATTCAGAGGATAGCGTGCACTCTCTTCTCTTGTCAGTCTTTTTTCCCCAACAGACCCTGTGCTATATCTGTACCATGTTGTGTTAGTGGTATTAACCTCTCTGTGTGATAGGAGTCCTTTGAGATCTTTTAGCAGAAAGACACTGTTTTTTTAGTAAGAAGCGGTGTATTAACAGCTAGAGCCAAGTGAATGAACACTTGGAAAGCCACCTCTCGAATGTCAGGGCATTTATAAAACACTAGTTGAATTACATTTTTATATGAGTATTTCTATAGAATGAATACTATTATTTAAACTATAAAGAAAGCTGCTTGCTTACCCCAAAGTAAATGTCTCAGATGCAACTATCCCAAATTCAGTTTCTTAACTCTCCTTGCGGTTGTTTACTTCCTTTGCTTTTGTCTTGAGTCAGGTAGTTTGGAAGTTATCAGATCCCCAGAGTTGGGTAGGATGATGGAATAGGGATGCAGGTGCCTCACGTGGAACTAAGGAGAAGTGACTGGTCTGTGCCTTGCTGCGTCTAAAGTTGCTTTTCACAGTGTAGCTCTCAGGTATTAGTCAACCTAAAAACTACACTTTGAGGCTGAGGGTTATTTTATAAATATTGCAAAATTATTCTTTTCTATAGCTCTGGATTAGCTAAATTGCTGACCTGAACACAGTCAAGTTTTACTGTAACTGTTTCAGGTAGGGCCATACATATCTGTTGGTGATGGTGCATGCCTCGTTCTCATCCCATGATGTAACTTCCTATTTGCTGCTGTCTGTGTCTGTGTTTTTATTTTACTTAAAACTTTATAATGGTTACAAGCTGTGGCTTGTAAACACATCAGATCCTAAGCATAGGCAACTTAAAAAGTGTACATTGGTTTTATCCAAGAATTTTAATATCACTTACACTTTAAGTTCAAACCAGACTCTGCATAAGCCTGAAGTTAGTAATAAATTTCGCCAGTGAAATTATTTTTTACACTTAGGACATGGAATTGTGCTATTTAGGAGACAAGTCCCTGGGAAACAGTTTTATGTAAGCAATGATTAGTTTACCTAGTATTAATGGATACAGAGGAAATGTTTTTCAATCTCTATCCAGACTTTAATAATTGGGTTTATCTGTATTAACCAAGGAAGTTAAAAATTTGTGAAGTTCTTTTTAAGACATTTTTTAAGTGAGATAGTAAGTCCTAAGTAAGAGATGTAGTGTAGGGCAATGAGAGTAGTGCTGTGGTCCTTGCCTCTGCCCTTTGCAGTTCTCTTTGTAGGAGGTCTACCTGTTTTTATCCAAACCTTTCAAAGATTTCTTGCTATTTTCCTAAATTATTTGTTTTTATTTTAAAAATTTAAAAAGCTTTGAATCTGTGATACTATTAGTGTTAATTTCAAATACATTGACATTTTAATTGTTTCTGGTGACACTACCTGTTTTTGGAGTATGTATAACCTTCAGAATGGTGGTGTCCCGATGGGTGAGCTGTTTATTAGTGGAAACCAATAAAAACTTAATGTTAAACTAAAGATCTTAAAATGAGAACAGTTACTATAAAAAAGCAGGAAATGTGGATGTGGTAAAGCAACCACTTTTAATGCAGTTGGTATAAATTAACCAAGCTATTTGGTATTTTACATCGAGAGTTTTAATAATTATTATACTTTCAGCTCCAATAATTCTCCCCCTTACCAATCAATTTTTAGGAAATCTAATGTATAGAGATTTACATATAAAGATGTCCCTGACTTTGGGAGGCTGAGGCCAAAGGATTGCCTGAGTCCAGGGGTTGGAGACCAGTCTTGGCAACTTGGCAAGACCTCATTTCCACAATAAATCAAAAAATTAGCTGGGCATGGTAGCACACACCTGTAGTTCCATCTACTTGGAAGGCTTAGGTAGAAGAATCATTTGAGCCCAGCAGGTCGAGGCTGCGATGGCCATGCGCATGCCACTGCATTCCAGCCTGGGCGCCAGAGTGAGACTCCAGCTCAAAAAGTCCTTCGTGGCATCATGTTTTGTATTGAACAACTTTGGAACTGCCTAAATGTCCTTTAATATAAAACAAGTTCAATAAATTGTTCTAGATCTGTAAAGGAGTATTTTATAATCATTAAAATTATACTTATGAAGAATATTTATACCTGGAAAAACTTAATGCAACTTCAGGTTTTAAAAGGAGGCAGCATTTAAAACTACATTATTGTCTCAAAAAACATATGAATAGAAAAATACTGGAAATCTATATTGACTTGTTCATCGTCTTGTTTCTATAATATACATATATTCATGATCTGAAACTTTTTTTCTGTGTCTACAACAAGAAAGGAGGAAATGTGTTTTTTAAAAATTAAAGTACTTATTTTAAGAAGAGTTTGAAACCAAGAGGTTTTCTCTTGTCATTTATAAAACATTTTCAGAAATTAAATAACATGTGTGGTTGTGCTAAAGCAGTTCTTTTACTTAAAAGGTTATAGCATCTTTTTTTTTTTTTTTTAGAAGTAAGTAACTTCAAGTTCACATCAACTGCTTTTTAAAATTAGAAAAAGTCATGGTTTAATTTTGCAAAAATCTTAACACTATTTGGAAACAACAAAAATGATTTAACACCTATTGAAGCCAGAAGGTTGCTTTTATGATTCTTGTTTTAAGTTTTCAAATGCATGCAGTATATTATTTCTCTAAAGTTACCAATTATAATGCTTTTCATTTGTATCTTACAACTTAAATGAGTCATAAATTTAAAAAATTCATACTGTGCATCTAGTTAGTACCACCAAAATGATTTGCATTTGGCAAGGAACACACTTGTTACTGTTATTTTAAATTCATAGAAAGGAAATCTGGAATGGATCAATGCATTTATAACCAATATAATATACAAAGCCTTAGCGTATATAGAAAAAAGACTTAAATATAAATACAAATCTAATTTTATTTTCTAACACTGACAAAATTACTTTATTTCAGCAATTATCAGTGGTATTTTTAAAAAGAAAATATTGCTAACTTTTCAAATAATTATTTTACATATTAAAAGAGACCTTTATGTTTCTTTTATAGATATTTGAGATATTTGGCCCTGTTGCACATCCATTTTATGTGTTACGGTTTAATTCATCAGATCACATTGAGAGTAAAGGCATTAAAATAAAGGAGACTATGTATTTTGCTCCATCAATGAAGGACTTCACCCAATATATATTCACAGAAACACTTAAACAGTAAGTACTTTATTGGCATGTTAGTTGTTCTTATCTAATGGTTATGTTTTAGGAGTAATTCTCAGTGATGGTAGTTCTCAGTTTCTTATATGGCATTTGTCTTGAAAACAGTTTAATTATATTCCTAATAACACCTCTGAAAGCTACAATTTGTTAGCAGATTAGCCAGTGGGAGCCCATTTGAGCTGTGTAAATTTTCTGAATTCTAGTTCATTGTTTTTTTCTACTCCTATACTTTCTTTTATATACATGCTACTTCATTATTAGTATTATCGTTTTTTATGCAACTTTTTTCAGTTTTAAATAAAATTCTTAAAATGATAATTTTCAAGAGAAAAAGAAAATGAGTACATCTCAGGGCATTGACTATAAATCCTAAATTTATAGAAGTGACAGCTAAAATGTATCCCTGAAAAATTGTGTAGAAAGCCACAGTATATAGGGTTGACCTAACTTACAAACCGCCGCTGTCAATTTTGTCTGTAAATATGCCAAATGATTCTTGTGGCATGTGACTAGGAATATTTCTGCATATTTGTGCTCCCAACTTGTTAATTGTGTATTTTTCCTTTGTTAGCTGTGTTGCCAGTTGTTAGCTGTAGAACTGTTTATATCAGTACTTGTTATTATAAATTATGTAATTTAAGCTGGGTGTGGTTTCTCTTGCCTTTAATCCCAGTACTGGGAGGCTGAGGTGGGAGGATTGCCTGAACATAGAAGCTGAAGTCCAGCCTAGGCAACATAACTAACTAGACCTATCTTTACAGAAAAAGAAAAAAATTAGCCGGGTGTGGTGTCAAGGACCCGTAGTCCTGGCTTCTCTGGAGGCTGAGGCCAAAGGATTGCCTGAGCACAGGAGGTTGAGGCTGCAGTGAACTGTGATTATACGACTGCAGTCCAATCTGGGTGACAGTGAAACCCTAACTCAAAAAATAAATACATAATATAATTTAATTTTTTTATATCAACAAGTGGCATGAGTTTCAACAAGTAGGAGAGATTTTTTTAATAAAAGTAAGTTGGGTGCTTTGGAAAGATGTAATAAATATGAGTCACTAAAAATATTTTCAAGTTAGGAGTGGAAGAAAAGACTGCCAAGCACTGGGAGAGAAGAAGGGGATCTTAAATCCAAAAAGACTTTGCACTTAGTTTGACACTTAAGTTTCTTTTAATTCTAGCCCTCCTTTTATTGGAATCTTGAAACATAGGTGATGCATTTTTATAGATACGGTTTTTGCAGGAAATACAGAGGAACTTCAGTCACTGAATAGCTCTGGTACTATGTCAAACGTGCCGATCCGAGTTTCATGGCATAAGAAGGTCACTATACCAACTTATATTAAACCAAGTCTCAAGTTGCGTAATTTCATTTATTATTTCAGAGATGAGAATTTTGGTCTTATTGATTAAACTTGTGTTTATAAGAATCCAAATAATTATCTGAAGGAACATTTGCCTAAGCTATTCTTCAGGCTGTGTAAGGTTAATTTTCCTAAATTAACCTTATGTATATGTATGTATATGTTTTTTTGGCACCCCGATATGATATCAAAGTTCTGAATCAAAAATTTAAACTTAGTGATTTTCATGTTAGCTACCACACTGACATCTGTACCTTGCTTTTAATGACATTAATTCCCGTGAGTCTCATATATTTTTGAGATCTAGTTCAAAACAATAAGTACATCTAGTTCTAATGCTTTTTAATTTTTGACAAGAAAGATTCATTTGAGTAGAGTTAAAGTCATAAAGGTTTTAACATATTTTAAAATGTTTTAGCATTTCATTCTGGTTTGAATATTGGGATACTGCTGTGGATATGCCAAATATTAAACTTATAACAAATCAAATATTTTGTGTAATTTTTTCTGAAGATGTTTATTAAATAGATTTTAAATAATAGGCACAGTCTTTGTTTTTGATTTATGATTCTCCTGAAAAGAAATGGGAATAAATCAAAAAATAGGGAAAATAGGCCCATCTTGCAGACGCCTCGCATGAAGAAGACTGTTTTATTCTAACTGCATGTTGGTGTGTGTCATGGGAACTTGGTGGAGTACTTGGCTTTTAGGGTGGAGAAGTTCAGCTTTCCAGCTTACTGGTCTCTAGAAAGACTGTTTTAGTCTTAACTTTCCATGTATTTACTTTCTTGTTAAAATTGCCTTTTGGATTGTTGTTTGATCTTTACTAAGAGATTTTGATTTTCTGTCATAGATGGCACTCTTTGGGGAACTTTTCCCACTTATGCCTGTAAGTCCAGACTAAGGGCTCTGCAGTCATGAGATATCATGTACTGGCTATGTTTAATGCACAGGTGTAAAATAGTTGAGGAAATGCTTTTTGTTTTTAAGTGATGGAAAAATGTTGATAATGCATCATATACAGAAGGTGCCCCAAAGAAGTATACACATTTTAAGAAAGGAAAAGACAGCCGGGCTCGGTGGCTCAGCCTGTAAACCCGTGCCTTTGGGAGGCTGAGATTAGTGGATTGCCTGAGCCCGCAGGTTCGAGATCCGCCTGGGCAGCGAGACCTCATCTCTACAATAAATCAAAATATCAACTGGGCGTGGTAGTGCATGCCTGTAATTCCAGCTACTTGGAAGGCTGAGGCAGAAGGATCGCCGGAGCCCAGCAGTTTGAAGCTGCGGTGGCCGGGAGCAGCCAATACACTCCAGTCTGGGCGACAGAGTGAGACTTCAACTCAAAAAAAAGGAAAAAGACTATTAAAACTAATACTCAATATATACTGATAACAAAAGATGAACACAAGTCATGTTTGACTTCTGCAGTTACAAGAGATGCTCAAAGTGGTTACTACAATCAGTATCCAGACACTTCTGATTTCAGCAAACCAAAAGTAATACATAGATAACATCTCTTAAAGTATGTATATGTTTTTTTGGCACCCCGATATGATATCAAAGTTTTGAATCAAAAATTTAAACTTAGTGATTTTCATGTTAGCTACCACACTGACATCTGTACCTTGCTTTTAATGACATTAATTCCCATGAGTCTCATATATTTTTGAGATCTAGTTCAAAACAATAAGTACATCTAGTTCTAATGCTTTTTAATTTTTTTTTTTTTTTTTTTTGGGTTGGAGTCTCACTCTGTTGCCAGACTGGAGTGCAGTGGCCGCTCCTGGCCACCGCAGCCTCGACCTGCTGGGCTCCAGCGATCCTTCTGCCTCAGCCTTCCAAGTAGCCGAAATTACAGGCACACGCTACCTACCACACCCGGCTAATATTTGATTTATTGTAGAGATGAGGTCTCGCCTGCCCAGGCAGGTCTCGAACCCGCAGGCTCAGACAATCCACTTACCTCAGCCTCCCAAAGGCGTAGGATTACAGGCTGAGCCACTGAGCCCGGCCGCTTTTTAGATATTTTAACATAATTGAATAACAAGATATCTGACACTATGAAGTTAATACAACTAAAAAGATACCATTATAAGTAGGCTTTGGAGCTGGGCTTGGTGGCTCAGCCTGTAATCTTGCGCCTTTGGGAGGCTGAGGTGAGCAGATTGCCTAAGCCCGCGGGTTTGAGACCCGCCTGGGCAACTTGGCGAGACCTCATCTCTACAATAAACCAAAAATTAGCCAGACGTGATAGCACGTGCCTGTAGTTCCAGCTACTTGGAAGGCTGAGGCGGAAGGATCGCCAGAGCCCAGCAGGTCAAGGCTGTGGTGACTGGGAGCATGCCACTGCACTCCAGTCTGGGCAAAAGAGTGAGACTCCAACTCAAAAAAAAAAAAAAAAGTGGACTTTAAGAAATCATAATCATACTCATAATGTATATATATATACTTTTTTTGGCCGTAGAGTATAAAATTTTCCACCAGAAGTAATTAATTTTCACATAAAGTTGTCAGGACACTGACATCCAAGTCTTAAAGATTCTGCTTCTCCTCGTCAAACTAGTTAGTGTTTACTTCATCTTCTTTGTTCTGAAACTCACTGTTGAAACAAGCTTTGGTTACTCATGGAGGATTCATATTCCTCAGGTAAATTGAGGGAAAACGAATTCATGTATCTGCACTAACAAACTTGTAAAATCTTCAAGAAGAGAATGCCTCATTTGTTTTTGTGACTTTTACAGCTGGAACAGTTTCTAAATAGTTGGTGTGGAATAATCATTTGTTTAATGGAGTTTTATGAAAACTTTGGGTATCATGAAAGTATAAATCAAAAGAACTGCCAAACCACTTCCTTTTGCATGCCACAGCCTTGGCTCCTCATTCCAATTCCCTAATCCTAATATTTATATGTATTCAACTTTTGTGTGTTTCTTATGAGCTTACCACATCTTTTGAAATAAGGCAAAGGACACTTAAGTGGTCATTAATTTTTTGTTATTTTGTTGTATATTGCAAAATTAAAGGTTGAGTGCATGTCTTCTACTTTGTTTTCCTCTGGTTAAGTTGTAAGCATTTTTTAACAGAATCTTAATACTTGCCTTTTTTCCCCAGGGATAGGGGATCAGATGCATCATGGAAGAATGATCAGGAACCACCACCAGATGTAAGTATGTCTTTTTATACCATATTTTAGTAAGTAGGGGTGGGACTCTTAATCTTATGAATCCATTATTGACCTTAAGGAAGTTGCTAATACTGCTCAGCTGTCATCTTTCCTTCCCTGTCCTATTCCCTGTATTCCCTCATGCTCCTAGATGACTGTTTTATTCTTTTCAATGAAAGTTTCTGTTTGATCATTTTAGGATAAGAAAATTTGGGGTTACATTTAGTTACATTTTAATGATTACTTAGATACCAGCTTATCATATACCTTGTTATTCATTAATATCTGGTAAAGGCAGGATGTCATTTTAAAAAATTTTATTCGATTTAATCACCATATGGGACAGGAAGGCACTTATTATAGTAATTTTAATAATAAGCTACCCTTCTTTTAGAGGTGCAAAATCTTTGGAAACTACTTAATACTCCATTTTTTTAATAGTATACTTTTCTTCCTAAAAAGAGATCTTTTCATTTTCTTTTTGTATTCATGTTGGCATGAGAGTAGTTTTATGCCAAAAGTGGCTTGATAATCTAGTCTTTCTAAAAAGTAGAATAAATTTAGGAATAATATATAAATGAATGAAATAAATAGTAGGATTATTTGTTTAACTTTTCATGAAGATGTTTAAGTAGATTTTGTTTTTTCTAAGTTATTAAAATACATTAATTGCAGTTATGATATTCATTTCTTGAAAATAGTATGAATTTATAACATGTAGCGATATTATATGTGAGAATTTTAGAAATGTGCACAGCAGTTCTAATTAACTTTTTTCAGCATTATAGATATGCAGATTCATTTTTGGTTATTTCAGGTAATACTGAAGATCATGGTGTATGTTAGTTTCTAATTTTGTTAAGGTGTGAATCAGATTTTTGCCCCCTCAGAGGGTTTTATACATGTATGAGTCACCCAACAAGTGATCCTTAGCTTAGGCTCCACACTGAAATGAGATTGATTATGTTTTCTAATTAATGTTGTGTATTCATGTGATTCTTATTAAGGTGCTGAATAATCGCTTAATGTTCTCAGTTATGTTTAGTGCTTATTACTGAAATTATATGTTTTAAAAGTGTTTGGAGATTTCATAAAGATCTTGCAACATACTTGTGAAATTCAGGTTTTCTAATGTATATTTGTGGTTTCAGGCCTAAGCATTGAAGTTCCTACTTATGGAAATATTAATTGTTTATAAAGTTGGTTTGATTAGGTTAATTACAAAATTAAATTTTGAATGCTTCATAGTGTTTGCTTTTTCCAGGTAGCTGACTGGATCATGAAGTATGTTGAGATTTAATTTTGTAATATTTATTGAAGAATTCTGTAGTCTTGAGTTATTGCCTGATGTTGATCATAGATTAAATTTGGAATTTGTGGGGTTTAAACTAAAAAAAAAAAAAAACTATGAGAAAACGAAGCGGTTGGGCGTGATGGCTCAAGCCTATAATCCCAGCACTTTGGGAGGCCGAGGCGAGTGGATTGGTTGAGCCCATGGGTTCGATATCCACCTGGGAAACTTGGTGAGACCTTGTCTCCACAATAAATCAAAAATTAGCCAGGCGTGGTAACGTGTACCTACAGTTCCAGCTATTTGGAAGGCTGAGGCAGGAAGATCACTGGAGCCCAGCAGGTCGAGGCTGCGGTGGCTGGGAGCATGCCACTGCATTCCAGTCTGGGCAACAGAGTGAGACTCCAACTCAAAAAAAAAAAAAAAAAAAAAGATAATCTTATCTTTTTATCTTTATATTCATTTGTAAGGTACCAACCTGTACTTTATAGTTAAACAAATGTGATTTTTTTTTTTATTTTATAAGGTGATAGCAAAGTACTACCATGGTAATCTCTCTAAAACAAACTATTCCCAGTTAAAATCCTTCAATTCCTCTCTCCTGCTTTGATGTCCAGTTATTTTAAATGGCACACAATAAGATTCTTTATTAACTTTTCCAGTTTCATCTCTTCTGATTTTGCTGTGTAAGAAACTTTCACTGTCTTTTTCCTGTATGTATTGTGGTCTTTCATGCCTCTACACTTAGTCTCACTTCTTGAAAACTTCCTTTTCCTTTTTTTCACATTTAACTTATCATTAGACATTTATCTTCATTGTCCATGTGAAGAATTCTTTCTTTCCCTTTTTTCTTGTTATCTAGTACCATACTTCTATAGCACTAAGTCGTGGTACTTGCTTATTGATTGTATTATTGTTTTTATGTTTTCTTTTTCAAACAAAGGAATGTCTTCCATCTGATCTCAGTGTTTTTTAGAGTCTGGCAAATATCAGATTTAACCTGAATTTTAAAATTTTGACACATTAAGATTAGTAATAGAAAATTATACATTTTGAAAGTACTAAAATTAGTTTATGTTTTCCAGTTTGATTATAGATTCTGAGTATATGTACTCTTGGTTCATGGAGGACTTGATCTAGAATATATTTCAGCAGTGCCATACTGAAAACTCCATATGAAGACTTTCATATGCATTTTATTTATTTTTTTGTTTGTTTAAATGTGAACTCGTGCATGCATAATGAATCTGCTTTCATATATTTTTATATGAAACATAATATCTATTAACTGGTGTATGGTAGAATAATAAAATGCCTGCATTGTAAAATTGTGGTAGTCATTTATACCTTGTAAATCTTGTTTGTTTTGTGTGTATGTGTTTTTTTTGGTGGGCTATAACAATGAATCCTATTTCTTAGTTGCATAAAGATTTGATCACTTATAATTATAGATATTCATCTCTTAAATATTGAGCTGTGCATGTATCTGCTTGTAAAAGCCTATTCCTATGGTCCTATCTGAATAGCATCCCCATGATTTTCTATACTCTTACTTAATATTTGTATTTACTTACAGCCCTTAAGTATAATACTAAAGAGTTAGTACTGTAAACCTGTAAAGGATGAAACCTGTAAAGTGTTTAGACTAGTGCCTGGCATATAATTGGTATGTGTATGTTTGAATGAATGAATCATAGAACATTGTTTTCTATTTTTATATTGGATCTGATGATGTATGTAATTTGCTAAGTCCTAACTACTGTTTCCTTTAGCAGCTGGCACTGTGATAAAGCTTAAGTTCAAGCTGGAAGTCAGACTTCTAGCCAGGGATACCCATATCTGAAAGTTGTTATGGGTGGCATTTTAAAGTTACATATTTGAAATTTTCTAGGAATTACAAACAAGAAAACTTGAGTATTCATTTTAATTACTACCCTATGCTAATCAAAAAATACTTTATTTTTCTACCATGTCAAGTATATTCAGATATAGAAAATATTAAGTATCAAAAAGACAACTTTTTTGGAGGATCAGTTCTATTAAATTGGCTAATCTCTATAATATAAATTTACTTTTCTTTACAAGGCCTTGGATTTCAGTGATGATGAAAAAGAAAAAGAAGCCAAACAGAGAAAAAAAACTCAGATTCAAGGCCGGAAAAAACTCAAATCTGAATTTAATGAGCCAGGTAAGTGAATTGTAATAAATATTGTAATTCTTTCTCTTCATTTACATCTATATAAGTTCATCAATAATATAAAACTGGAGGAAATATCTGGGATCTTTCTGTTTACCTCCTGGCATCCTGCTAGCTTCAGGGGCATTACACAGCATTGGATATGATGGGAGAGAGTCACAGGAATATTGAGTGGTAGTTTTATGAGCTTAAGGATGTCAAAATGGCTTCTAAGGTAACACAAACTGAGCCTTGCTAGAGTCATTTGTGCCTGTCAGCACTTTTTCTCAAGAAACTTCTTTGCTCCCATTTTTAGAATTTTATGATGTAGTACTTAATTAACAGTATTTTGTTTTTTAGCATGCTTTTTCCTTGCCTTTTTAAAAAATTAAACTTTTTTTTTGAGATAACTGTAGATCCATATACAGTTGTAAGAAATAATAGGAGAGATACTGTTCCAGTTTCCCCCAGTCATAACATCTTGCAAAACTATGTTGTACAGTTTCTCTGCCGAGATAATGACATTTACACATTCAGGATACACAACACTTCTATCACCAGAGATCACCTGTACACAAATACTTATGGCAGTTTTCCTCCTAACAGTCCCAAAATGGAAGCAACCCATATGTCTTTCAGTGGATGAATGGCTAAGCAACCTGTGGGAGAAACAGTGTTGCTTCTGGTCAAGGTGATAGTTCAAGTTCTGTGAGTGATCTCTGCTGTTGTGCCCTGATGTCCTTGTGCCCTGGGTAGTTCATTGCTGCCTGTCAAGTACAGAAGTGCAGGTTCCCTCTCAGCCTTGGAGAGTGTGGGCAGGGATAGTGCCACAGATTTTTCTGTGGTGTTTGGCTGGAGTAGAGTGATTGTTGTCTAGACGCTTTCTTGTCTAGCTAGGTCCTCTTTCCTAATTTTTGGGCTTCAAGCTCCCTTTTCAATTCATTTAAAATCAACATTTTATGCTTTCTACTTTTTCAACTGCCATAAGATATACTAGAAATTAAAGAAAAGGCATTATTGAAATTTCAAACAGTTCCTTTTGAATATAGTAAACTTACTACATTTTTGATTTTTTGCTTTTTTCCCTACTCAAAGGTGAAGAGTTTGGTGAAGTACATCAGAATTGGAATGCTTGTACCTCTGCTTCAGAGCATTCAAAAGGATATCGCAACAGAGAATTTACACGAGGATTTTCCAGGGGTAGATACCCTCGGGCTAGCCATGGCAGGCCTCTGCCTCAGCAGTTTTATAACTCAGAACATGTGGTGTCTCAGCAGACATCGGGATTTCCACCTCAAAGACAAGATAATTCTGTTATGCCACAATACCCCTTTCCTCCTCCAATGTTTGAAATGCATAATTTTTCACTCCCTCCACCACCCCCACCCCCACCCCCACCCCCACCACCACCACCTGCACCTGTAAACATGGGCTGGGCTGCACCCAACATGGCACCTCATCTACTACTTAACTTGCCATACCCCCTCCCCCCACCGCCGCCCCCTCCTCCCCTGCCTCCCCCACCCTCTTCTGGAGATAGTAATTCTTCTCATTATGGACCTTACTATTAGGTCAGTTTATGCATTTCCAGAGAAATGTGGACTTTTCATATTATATTTTTTTCATAAGAAAGTGATTATTGAGCTAGATTTTTAAAAACACTGTAAAATACTAAATGATTTCTTTAGTTGTATGTTAATATATATATCCAGTTATATAATATTCAATTAAAACTTTGACTCTATACTTTCCTCCACCCCATTAAGGAATGTATATAGAAACAGATATAGAGCAAATTTCATCATAGGATAAAATATACTAAATTCATTTATTTTCTTGTATAATCTGAAAATAAGAGTTGAAGTCCTGTTGAGTCTTTAAAATAAAATATTTTTGTAAATGTATGCTTTGAAAGTCAATTTTGGTTATAAAAACCTCACCAGTAAATTTAAGTGACCCTATTTTTTTCTTTAAGCAGGTGAGGGGTATAGAGGAGGAGATTCTTATATGGTGGCAGAAGCTCTGACTATAACTAAAGTAAATATTTATTAACTATGCACAGGCAGTCTTGCATTATCATTGCAGATTTCCATTGTTTGGGCACTACTCAGAAAGCTTTATTGTTTAACCACTGAAAAAGGACTTGAAGATTATTCAAAGTAAGATGTATTGAGAAGTTATGTCTTCCATATCTGTTTTTCAGATGTTCACATGTCTGGTTAGCAACTAGATACAATAAATAAAGCTACTGAATGAATGATTTTAGAGTTTTCAATTAAATGAATAGTGACTGTTACTTCACATCATGAAGTGTCAATGTAAGGGAAATTGCAGAGTTTTAGAATTACAAGAGGTCTTCAAGATAATTATAAACTAGTTGTCATTTAATAAATGAGGAGCCTTACTGTGGGTTCCAAAGAGGCTGAGTCATTTAAACAAAGTCACTCAACTGGTGAGCTGGCGAAGAGTTGGACCTAGCTCTCTGTATTTTCAGATGAATACTTTCCACTGAGTAGGTGCTTTCCAATCTTTCATTATTTGACACTTCTAGAAAATAATGTTTGTATGACACATAGAAGTCATCTGGAGTCCACTTAGCACACGCGCATGGACGTTGGTTGCACTGAGCCCCTTTGACTTCCCCGTGGGTTGAAGAGACTCTTTGTAGTATTCTTAGTATACAAATTGAGAGACTTTGCACTATTTGTCTTTGCAACTTCTCTTGAAGAGGTGTCCTCACAGGTTATGGCACAGTCTTTTTCTGGTTAGTAGAATATTGTAACAGTTAATATGAGAGAATAACTAAAAGCACTAAAAGAAAAACCCAAAACCTTTTTTTACAGGAATGGGAGGAGTAAGATATTATGGTAAGTCATCAAGCTATTGTAATCACCATAAAATTTAAACATCTTTCCATTTCTGTGCCTCAGGTACAGACATACCTCAAAGATGCTATGGATTCCAATCCAGACCACAATAGGGCAAATGTAAAAAAGAGAGTCATATGCATTTCTTGGTTTCTCAGTGTATATTATGTTTATACTATAAGCAGTTAATGTGTGCATATCTTTTTTTTTTTTTTTGAGTTGGAGTTTCACTCTGTCGCCCAGATTGGAGTACAGTGGCCACTCCCGGCCACCGCAGCCTCGACCTGCTGGGCTCCGGCGATCCTTCCGCCTCAGCCTTCCAAGTAGCCGGAATTACAGGCATGCACTACCACGCCCAGCTGATTTTTTGATTTATTGTAGAGATGAGGTCTTGCTGCCCAGGCGGGTCTCAAACCCGTGGGCTCAGGCACTGTATATCTTAATTTTAAAATACTTTACTGCTAAAAAAAAATCATCTGTGCCTTCAGTGAGCAGTAATCTTTTTCTGCTGAATAGTCTTGCCTGGGTGCTGATAGCTGCTGACTGATCAGGTAGTATTGCTGAAGGTGGGAGTGGCAAGACAACAATGAATTTTGCCACATTGACACTTTTGCAAAAGATTTCTCTGTAGCACGCGATGCTGTTTTTACTATTTACCAATAATAGAACTTCTTTCAAAATTGGAATCAATTCTGTCAAACTCTGCCACTGCTTTAGCAACTAAGTTTATGTAATATTCTAAATCCTTTGTTGTCATTTCATCAGTTCCCACCATCTTCACCAGGAGTAGATTTCATCTCAAGAAACCACTTTGCTCATCCATAAGAAACAACCCCTCATTTGTTCAAGTTTTACTATGAGATTGCAGCAATTCAGTTACATCTTCAGGCTCCACTTCTAATTCTAGTTCTCCTATTTTCACCACATCTGCAGTTACTTCCTCCACTGAAGTCTTGAACCCCTCAAAATCATCCAAACTCTTGTTAACATTTTGAACTCCCATGAATAATAAATGTTCTTAATTGTATCTAGAATGGTGAATGCTTTCTCAAAGATTTTCAGTTTACTTTGCCCAGATCCGTCAGATGAATTACTATCTATGTTAGCTATAGCCTTGTGAAGTAATTTGGTTCTCTCTCTCTCTTTTTTTTTTTTTGAGTTGGAGTCTCATTCTCACCCAGGCTGGAGTGCAGTGGCATACTCACGGCCACCCACAGTGTCAACCTACTGGACTGAGGCAATCCTTCTGCCTCAGCCTTCCAAGTAGCCAGAACTACAGGCGCTCGCTACCATGCCTAGCTGATTTTTGATTTATTGGAGAGACAGGTCTTACTAAGTTGCCTGACTTGGTCCAGAACCTGTGGGCTCAGGCAATCTACCTGTATTGGCCTCCCAAAGTGCGGGGACTACAGGCTGAGCCACCGAGCCTGGCCTAATTTGGTTCTTAAAAAGACTGGAAAGTTGAAAGTACTTCTTGATCCATGGGCTTTCAAATGGATATTGTGTTAATAGGCATGAAACAACATTAATTTTCTGCATGATAGCTTTTGGTTGACCGTGCACATTATCAATGAGCAGTAATGTTTTGAAAGGAATCTTCTTTTCTGAGCTGTAGGTCTCAACAGTTGGCATAAAATATTCAGTGGACCAAGCTGTAAACAGATATGCTATCATCCAGGCTTTGTTGTTCCATTTGCAGAGCACAGGCAATAGAGTTAGCATAATTCTTAAAGCCCTGAAATTTTTGGAATGGTAAGTGAGCATAGGCTTCAATTTAAAGTTATCAGCTGCATCATTTCTTAGTAAGAGAGTCGACCTGTTCTTTGAAGCCAGGCATTGACACCTCTCTAGCTATGAAAGTCCTTGATGGTACCTTCCAATAGAAATCTATTTCATCTGCATTGACAACCTTACTTATTGTGACCACCTTCATTTATGGTCTTAGTTAGATATGGGTAACTTGCTGCTTCTCCATCAGCACTTACTGTTTCACTTTGCACTTCTATGTTATGGAGACAGCTTCTTTCCCGAAACTCACGAACCAACCTCTGCTAACTTCCAACTTTTCTTCTGTAACTTCTCATGCTTTAGGGAATTTAAGAGAGTTAAGGCCTTGCAGTGGATTATTAAACCTTGGTTTAAGGGAGTGTTGTGAATGGTTTAATCTTCTAGCCAGACCATTCAAATTTATATTGATGTTAAGCCTGTTTTGCTCTCTTATGTGTGTGTTCATTGGAGTAGCACTCTTAATTTCCTTCAAGAACTTTTCCTTTGCTTTCAAAACTTGTCTAGTTTAAGCACAAGAGGACTAGTTTTTAGCCTGTCATGGCTTTCAACATGCCTTCTTACTAAGCTTGTCCTTTCTAACGGTTTTTTTTTTTTTTTTGAGTTGGAGTCTCACTCTGTCACCCAGACTGGAGTGCAGTGGCCGCTCCCGGCCACCGCAGCCTCCACCTGCTGGGTTCCAGTGATCCTTCCGCCTCAGCCTTCCGAGTAGCTGGAATTACAGGCATGCGCTACCACGCCCGGCTGATTTTTTTGATTTGTTGTAGAGATGAGGTCTTGCTGCCCAGGCGGGTCTCAAACCCGCGGGCTCAGGCAATCCACTCACCTCAGCCTCCCAAAGGCGTGGGATTACAGGCTGAGCCACCGAGCCTGGCTCCTTTCTAACTTTGATTTAAAGTTAGAAAAGGGTGATTGTTCTTTTCACTTGAACACTGAGAGGCCATTGTAGGGTTACCAGTTGGCCTAATTTTAATTTTGTTTCTCAGGGAATAGGCCTGAGGGGAGAGACTGAAGAATGTGGTTAATGGAGCAATCAAAACAAACACATTATCAATTAAGAGTACTGTAGTTTATGGGCACAGTTCATGGCACCCCAAAAGCATTGCAGTAGTAACATCATAGATCACTGGTCACAGATCACCATAATGGAAATACTAATGGAAAAGTTTAAAGTATTTTGAGTGTTACCAAAATATGACACAAAGCAGAAAGTAAGCAAATGCTGTTGGAAAAAATGGCACCAATGGAGTTACTAGAGATAGGGTTTGAACAAGCTTCCCATTTGTAAAAAAATATGATGTCTGGTGTACAATAAAATAATGTATGCCTATGGTACTGATAGTGGATATTTAATATCAAAAGCAACATAGAGTAGCAAGGCATAGTGACTCACACCTGTAATCCCAGCACTTTGGAATTCTAGAGCAGGAGGATTGTTTGAGATCAGCTGGGCCATACAGTGAGACTGCGTCTCTACAAAAAGCAAAAAAATTAGGCATGGTGGCATGTGCCTGTAGTCCTAGTTACTTAGCAGGTTGAGGCGGAAGGATTCCTTGAGCCTAGGAGTTCGAGGCTGCAGTGAGCTATAGTCACACCATTCCACTCTAGCCTGGGCAGCAGAGCAAGACCCTGTCTTTTTTAAAAACAAAACAACTGAATTGCACAACTCAATTTCTGTTTTCAGTTGAGTTGGTATTTTAATCACTTAGATCCAATTTGCCTTCTTTCCTGTGCAGTAGACCCTCTGTATCTGTGGGTCCTGCATCTGTGCACTCAACCAATCCTGGATTGAAAATGCTTGGAAGAAAAAACAAATGGTTGTGCCTGTACTGAACGTGTACAGACTATTGTCATTATTTCCTAAGCAATGCAGTATACCTACTTATATGGTATTTATACTGAATCAGGTATTATAAGTATTCTGGAGATAATTTAGCATATATAGAAGGATGTGTGTAGGTTGTATACAAGTTCTACACAGTTTTTATATGAGGGACCAGTATTTATGGATTTTGGAACCAATCCCCCATAGATACCACGTAACAAATAATTTAAGGCTTTTGAAAGTTTGGGGTGCCTAGAAATCACTCTATTGAAGTTAAAAATACACATTCTTAGATTACATCTCTAGATAGACCTACAGACCTATTTTAAAAAGATACTCCAGGTGGTTAATTTCAGAATTTATTCTCAGTCTATAAATATTTCAGGGCAGATATACTACTACAGCTTATTAATGCTTCATACTGAAACTTCAGGGAGTTCTATTTGGGGTAGCAGTTAAGTTGTAGGGATTAGTGGCAAAGAAATAAAAACATAGCTTCTTAAATTGTATCATTTGCATCTCATTTGGTTCTCGGGGGTGTATTTTGCCAACTACATTTATCTTTGGAATTTAAGATATGGAAACCAACTGCCATAGTGTGAATGTGCCCCTTCCAAAATTTATGTGTCAATACTTAATTTCCACTGTGGCTGCATTAAAAGGTGGGGTCTTGGATGTGATTAAGTCATGAAGGCTCTGCATGCATGTATAGATTAGTGCCTTAGAAAAGGCCTGGAGGGAACTAGATTCCGTTTCTTTTGCTCTTCAATCCCTTCCACC